TATCATGGACTAATTTTGTCCGAGATTATGGCAGCTGACGAAGTGCAGGTCAATCACAGCAGCCTTCTCAACAGAAGTTATCAGATGAACCACTGAATCATCGGGACGATCCAGTGGAACCGTTGCACAGTGGGGATTTTGGCAGCAAAAAGGCTTGAAATTGTCTGCCGCTCAAACCTCTCATTGTAACATATGACTTCCTTTGGAAAAAATGTCAAGAATTTTATTCTGCATATTTTCAATTGGCGCACACGGTGATAAGTGCATGTTTGAAGCCTATTTTGCCCCAAAATCTCATATTTTCTGTAGTTCTTTCCCATTATGATACTTCACTGATTCAAATAGTCAGTACCTTTTATCAGAAGTAGCCAATTTATCTTTTAGTAGTCAGCTTGTGCCTTTTAAAAACTATTGATAACATTTATAGGAGAGCACGGGGTCAAATAAGCCAGATTTTGTAATACAGTATAAAAGTTTTCCGAATTTAAAATAAAGATTAAAAAAAATAAAAAAAAGAGATGCTCAGAAAGTGGATTACAAACGTCTAAAGGACAAAACTGATTCAAATGCATGTTATGAGCGTATTTTGCTCCGGTATCTCATATCAAAACAAATAACTTTTTTTGAAAGATTTCTGATGACTGAACAGTTTCTGCCGCTGAAATGCTAACACGAGATTTAGGTTTTCTTGCGGTAAAAAGGAATCTAAGCATCAATGTGCTTGTTTTCATACTGTGTACGGACAAATATATACATGTTTGGCGCCTGATTTACCCCAAAATCCTCTATCAATTGAAAGCATTTAAACTGGTTTATTGGCTTAAATAGACAATAACCTTCTTTGGAAATTTCCAAATATAGAAATATAAAATGGCTGGTGTCTGCTCTAGTAAAACGGCCGTAATGTTGACTTGTTAAATTTTCGAACCAAATCGGACCAAAAGAATGGTCGACATTTTTCCCAAAGGAAGTTATATGTTACAATGTGTGGTTTGCGCGGCAGACAATTTCAAGCCTTTTTGCTGCAAAAATCCCCACTGTGCATTGGTGGGATGGGTCTGGGCTTATTTTTTAAGATTCTGGTTTACTTCCAGAAAGGCGTCGCACAATTTGGGAGAGAATGGATATTATTGGCAGAATCGTTATTTCTGAGATCCACCTGGCCTGAATGATCTTTGTTATCGACTACAATTGGTCTTCAAGTAAGTATTACGGAGTCTAATGAGGTATTTAGTAGGGCTGTCAAGGTTCAGAGTGTTACTCACCTGTGTGGATACTGGAACGTGTTGTTCCCTGACCCGGAATATCGCCAGTCAACATTTTCGGACGTCTTCGGTTAGACATCGTAGTCGATGGTTGTGTCGACACAGTGTTGATATTGAGCCCAGTTGACACGATGGTAGTTGCGCCGGGAAGCTTCGAATTGGTTCACCGAGGAACCAACTTTGGCCACCACCGGATAGTGGTCCGAGCTGAGTTCTTGGTAGACAACCGGTTACGAGATGTTGACCATGTTGTTGATGTAGATGTCGATAGTGGCGTGAGCTCCAGACCGACTCAACTGGGTGGGATGTTGTACTGCGCTTTCTGTAGGTTTTTGTTCAGGATGGTGCCGTTTTGATAGAGCCGGTTGTTGCCCCAAGCTTATTGTTTGGCGTTCAGGTCACCAGCAATAGTGAAATTTTCCCGCCGTGTCGTGATAGCTTGACAATATCTCGTTGCAGCTCTGCTGCCGACCCGTCCCTGATGTTAACTTTTTTGGGGCAGTAGCCACCGACAGGAGCAGAAACATCCACCCCTACGGCTTCGATGATTTTCAGCTGAAAGCTCGGAAGTAGCCGACAGCTAATGTTTCTCCTTAGCGCAATAGCCACTTCTCCTCCTCCAGAGTTGGTTCGATCAAGCCTCACGAACCGGAAATCAAAAAGGTAGACCTTATTGTCGAGCTGCAGGTAGGTTTCAGTTATGATGGCAATGTCGATGTTTCGTTAATTGAGAAACTCAACCGTAGCCTGGCTCTTGAGCAAGCGTTCCAGTTGACTAGCTTCAACGCTTCAGAGGCCATACTCGATGACGAAATAGCCCAGAGTGTAAATCTGGTCGTAACGGGTTTTGAAACTGCGCAAACGTCTCGCAAGCTGGGTGAATACGGGGATCAGTTGCTCCGCTGTGAACAGTGCATCTGTGTTTTCGTTCGGTGGTGGTGCATCATCGTGACGCCTTGATAGTCCCGGAGGGAGGAGGTACTGCGGGATGCGTTTGTCGACTCGAATTTGACGAAGGGTTGACCACAGTTGGCCCATATGGGATCAGCTTCCTACATCATCTCGCAAGCGCCGGAGTTGTGTTTTTGCCACATTTGTTGCAGCGACTGGCCATGTGGCAATTTTTGGTTCCATGGCCAAACAGTAAACATTTCGTGCATTGAGTGACGTCACGATGGACTGGCTTGTGCAATTCCTAATTCACCACGATGTGGGATAGGGCTCGATCATTGTGCAGACCCTTCATGCACATTGAGTTCTTCTCGAGGAGGACCACATACAGCTGATCACGATTCTTATGAGTCATGTCATGACGAGCCATATTGAAAATTTGCACCAGTTTGAGTCCGTTCACCTTCAATTCATCCGACAGTGCGTCGGTATCCATGTCCGGTAGGCCACGCAGCACTACCTTGAGCGGCTTGTTGACTTCGATATAGTGGGAGAAATATTCCACCTTCAGTTTGCCCAGCATGGCTTGAACCGCCTTGTAATGTTTCATCGCCGGGACCATCAGCCAGCGCTGCAAAATTTCGACAAAACACAGTGATATTCAAAATTCTGCTTTGGTAACTCATTTGAGCTAACAGTCATCGTCAAGGCAAACCATGTCAATTGTCAATGACAATGCTGTCAGTGACGAACATGTGTATATTTTTTTGTTAAATAAATTTGTAATGAAATTAAATGACTTGAGCAATCACATGAAGCCCTTAAAGTGAACAAGCATCTACGTCCTAAGCTGCTTGGATAACAATAATGTGACACAGAATGCACGAAATTATATTTTTTGTTACCAGGTGAATCTTTGCCATTGACGAAAAAATTAATGAGATTATGACGAAGGTTTTTTTTGAGGATCAAGTCTGTCAGTGACTATGTGAAGAACAATTTTGTCAATATTGCGCAAAAGTATGTCAATGACAATGACAAATCTCAGCACTGCCATCAGCTTGTATCGCTCAATGAACAAGCGGATGGTAATTTGGAGGCCTCTACTAATGTAAAAATCTATATTCTCCCGCAAGCTGTCCGGGAATCTCTTTACGAAGGACGGGGGAAGTTTCATCAGTCCTTTCCACCTTCAGTTCATCGCCATTTTCCAATATGGCGTAACGGTTGTTCGCGAGCAGCTTCTTCGATGCCAGTTGAACATCTGTGGCGTCTGATCGGGTTCATTTCCCGGTTGGAATTGCGGCCGCGTCACCACGTGGCGGTTTCCCCAGTCGTTCACCAAACACCGCGAAAGAGAGACCGCGAACACTATCGCCACGAACTTTTCGAACAACTCGAGAGAGCGAGCTAGAACCGAACTGAACTGCTTGACGGTCAAGCAGAGAAGGACCGCTTATCAGATACTGTTTTGGGTTTATATGATCGATATGTTCGGGGTATGTGGTTGAGGGTGGCATAACTATTTGTATAAATGTAACTATTGTAAATTATTGTAGCTTTCAATAAATGTTTCTGTTTAAGGGGTTACGCCACCCTAGAATACAGAAAAATGCACCAACTTCATTAATTTTTTTTTTGTTATTTAATAAAGTCACATACTAAATTAACTTATATGGGTTTATAGTACACATAATTAGGGGTGCTTACAGGTTTTTTTTTATAAGGGGAAACCATGTGTGGCAGTTGGCAGCACTGCGAGTTCCTGGCACTGCTTCCCGTGTAGTGTTACGCGGCCCACACTTTCTTCGTCGTAAATATGAACCTAGAACAAAAACGAGTGGTTTTTCTTATTTTATATGAGAATACCTAGAGAAGTACATACGGAGATGAAAAAAATTTGAATTTTACGCAAATGGGACTTGTTTTTGCAAAAAATCAGTTTTTTCGCCTGAAATTTGTTTCTAAAATTGTTTACCACAATTGCATTTTTTGATCAATTGAAAAGTTCGTATGTACTTCTCTAGATAATTAATCAGAGAATGCAATCGTCAAAGTCTAGATCAAATTGAGTCAAAATTGCAGATGCTATCGTGTAGGCCGCGGAGAGAAATGTTGTATCGAAAAAAACGCGGTTGAAGTTTGAGGTACAGATTCAGGTGCGTGATGCAAAGTTTTGTAATTTCGATTATAACTTTCGGAATTTTAATTTGTTCGACATGGAACCAATTGTTCCTCATTCTTGACACTTCGATTTTTTGAAAATCCTAGAGTGGCGTAACCCCTTAAGTGTAGTTGTATTAAAATCAGTTATACTACTCATTTTTTTTGTAGTTCTTTAAATTTATGAGTAAATTGGTTGAATTCCCAAGTAGCCATAGGCACGTTATTTCGCCTTTTTCTCTATATACAGCTGAACAACGGCTACACCAGTGTTTGCCACTTCTGATGAGGCCCGTATATAGCCAAAAAGACGAAGTAATGTGCTTATGGCTACTTGGATTTGTTTCAAAACTAGTGCGATTCTATTGCACCTTTTAGTTATAGAAGAAAGTTTTGTTGAAATAATCACTACGGCCAAAAACTGGGGCACACATACGGCCAATAAATGAACAACTGATGTCAACACTGACGCCAGAAGTTTAAAATCAATTATTGTGATTCAAATTTAATAGATTTCACATCGTTTTAATATTCAGAATGGTGTAAACTTCTCTTCAATGGTGGAAGCCACTTTACAAAATTAGGGCTTCTATTTTATAAAATATGAAAACTTGCACTATCCGTACTAACTACTGCCAAAACTGGCTCACCTACCCTAGTAAATATTTAATTTAATTGAAGAGCATGCTGGGACTGCATCCGAGGGAACCGAGCTCACTGCTTCCATCCGCAATGCGTCACAGCCAACGGATTGGAGCGTAGCATTGTGGCAATCAACCGAAAGATGCCTGGACCACCGATTTTTGTCTGCCGAGGAGATACCATTGTGATTGACGTTACGAACGCGATGGAAGGTATGTCCGCCACAATACACTGGCACGGTTTCCATCAGGTTGAATCACCCTGGATGGACGGCGTCCCGATGGTGACTCAGTGTCCGATAGCACCTAGTACAAATTTCCGGTACATGTTCAAAGCGGAAGAACCAGGAACTCAGTGGTACCATTCCCATTCCGGTTTGCACATGGTCAACGGTCACCTTGGAGTGGCCGTAGTCAGAAACCCCCATGATATCAACATTGAACTGTACGACCATGATCTATCGGAGCATGTGATTTTGATATCTGACTGGGCGCTCGATTCCGCCAATCGGTGGTTTCCGGGATTGCAGAGCTCACAGATGAAGGTTGACTCCATTCTGATCAATGGTCGAGGAAGATATAGCAACGTAAGGCAATTGATAACACTCCGTCTGGCACAATAATAACTTATCAACTTGCAGGAAACAACAGGAGCCATAGTGGATTATGCTCCTTTAACCGTATTCCGAGTTCAGTCTGGTAAACGATATCGATTTCGGTTGGTTAGCGGTGGCAGTCAGTATTGCCCATTTCAACTACAGGTGAGTTCTAGCAAAACCATTAATTTGGAAAGCGAGAATTCACTGATGTATTACAAAATTAAACAACCACAGATCGAGAAACATCAAACGTTGGTTATTTCCACGGATGGCGGACCAGTGAAGCCGCATACAGTTGATACGTTAATTTCGATTTCCGGTGAAAGATACGATTTTGTGCTTAATGCGGATCAACCACCAGGTAGGCATTCATCGAAATTATGTGTATGTGGAAAACATGCACAAAAACCACCATTAACGCTTCTTAATCAAGTTTAATCATAACCAATTTAACCATAAAATAATTGTTTGACTTTTTCAAACGTAACCTTTATCAGGAAACTACTGGATACGTGTCCGGGGCATCGCATTTTGCAACCAAATGCGTGTGGAGGGACTCGCTATTCTGTCCTACGCTGATCCTGTCGTTCCTACCGAGAAGCTCATGTTTCCGGATCATGATCCACCAAACTACGACAGCCCATATCCGATGGGACACACACTGAACCATCAAATGGCTGCATGTTACACTCCCGGAGATGACTTTACCTGTGCGGCAGACCTTGAAACCCACGAAGATCTCCGAGACGACGACCTAATAGACGCCGAACCGGATATACGACTATTACTCGGGTTCAAAATGATAAATGCAAATAATAGTTTGCTATTTTCACCACCGTACCACCGGTTTGTTAGTAAGAATCATTCAAAGAAAAGTATGCAAAACCAATAAGAATCAATCAATTCAAACTGTTGCAGCCGTTCGCGAAGATTTCAATACTGTAGCAACCGCAAACAATATTAGTTTCATTTCTCCCAGCTTCCCATTACTGGTCCAACCGGAACTCATCATCAATGAGGACAAACAATTTTGCAACAACTCACATCTGCCACCCGGCTGTGACAGGTATCACCTTTGCTTCTGCACTCACCGAATCAAAGTTAAGCTGAACGCAATCGTCGAATGGACACTTTACGACACAGCGCTGGGTGAGATCTGCTCACAGATTACAGAAGAAAAGACATGACCCGCGGGCTTTATTCCCTTTTACAGTTGAGCAAGATTTCTATCATCCTTTTCACATCCACGGCCATCGGTTCATCATCACCGATATGGGCAAACTTCCGGAGAGAGCCAAGAGCTCACGGTTGAAGTACCTACAGGAACGTCAATTCACACGAAGACCCAACGGTCACAATCCGCCCTATAAGGATACGATATCGATCCCGAACGAGGGCTTCGTGAGGACACGGTTCAGGACCAACAATCCAGGTATGTAGGGCCACCCTTTTGATTATTGAATCAATCAACTCTTGACAAAAATAAATGATGCAGAGCTCATTGTTATAGTATAGTTGATGCTGTACCAAAACACATTTTAGTTTGATAACAGGTGAAACGCCAAAATGAACAACCGGTACTTGTTATTTTGTGTTTACGGAATTTAATGTCTTAGAGCTATTACAGTAGTTTTGTCAGCCCCACCGCGCATCAGAGTTTGATCTTTCAATAATTTCAGCGTAATTCCACATCTTTATCATCTATCTTCAAGATGGATGTTTAAGGTGTACTTTGGTACAATAAGACCACTAAAAAAGCGCATGGGTTTCGTAGAACATTAGAAAAGATTTTCAAAAAGGGTACTGGCAAAATCGGGTCATTGCTGTACATCATTTATCATGTAAAAGTAATGTTGCAAATAGGAAAGCACAAGTCTGTTCGATGTACTTACAGAGAAAAGTAGCAAGTTTTCTTTAACCCTTTATAAGGCCGAGAAAACCAAGCATGGAATCAACTCGTACTCGAATGCTTGGAGATGTATTATTTTATATCGATGTAGGAAAATTTGCGTATTTTCGTCAATCTACGCAGCATCCTTAACAATTTCACAGCGTCACGCACACATATGACGTGTCGTGTTTGTTTGCTTACATTTATCTGCTTATTGCTTTTGTTTTGCTTATTTATATATGGGCCCAAATAAGGGGCATTTAGGCATTTAGGCAATTACATCCATTTCCCCTATATAATGAAATGGGCTCAATAAACAATGTTGTCCAGAAAAAAGTCATGTAAGGTCACTAAAAAACACGGAAAATATTTGTGAAAATTTTAACTCTTTAAAAAATAATATAGCATTCAAATTAAAGCTGGTTTTACCCCATTTACCTTAATATTGAAAAATAAATGATCGTTTCAGCGAGCAATCTATTGCGTCCAGGGCGTAATAATATCAGATTCAATCGACATAATCGATGCGACGATGCTAGCTTTCTTTTTCTGTTGAATTCGAACCGCTTCACAGCATTCTAGCAGTTCAGCCGACAACTGTTCATTCTGCCTTGTCTCTCTTTCTTCCGTTGCTTCATTTATCTTTCTTTCAAGCTACGATGAAGCGGACGAGTGAAAGAGCGCTCGACTTTCATAGTTTTGTCTTTCATGACCACTTACAGCCGAGGTTTCATGACGTACGGAAACGCCTCGTTTTCTGGTGACAAAATTGCGCATTTGCGTGCACAAAACGATCGGAATTTGGGTTTATTCTATATATAAAAAAAGGGAAAATAGATTGGAAGAATTCTTGCTAAAATTTTCCAATCGCGAGATATTTGCGTTCAATCATATAAATTCAAGATTTGTTGCTTTTTCTAGCGTTCTGGAGAAAAGCTTACCTTAATTAGAAGTGTTTCTGGTTAATTGACAAGGTCATGTGGTATTCGGTCATTGCGAGAATTTGTATGCACCACTCAATACTGTTACGCATTAGACCACATTAGACGCGCTTGGCATAGATGCCCCAAAGCAGCTCACGACGTGCAACTGAATCCGATCAGTAGCGGTGCGGCTTCCTCCTTCTTCGGTGAATGGACGCTCATGTGGGCTGCAGCTCATTGCTTCCGGGCAGCCTTTAGTTGTGTACTACAGAACAATGTTCAACGCCACGTGCCGAAAGCACTGCTTCTGCTGCTGCTGCTGATGATGACAACCGACTGGACACCATCACACACGGTGATTGAATAAGCACCGTTCGGTAAAACCGGATGAATTTCGATTTTGCACATTTGTGTAATTTTTAAAAGTGACCTATTGAAAATTAATAGTGTTCATTTTAGCAGATTCGTAGAAAAATTTCCAATCGATTGACTTGTTTGGAATTTAAAAACTACCGCTATTGACAGAGTTATAAGTGGTCAAAACTTGACAACTTTTCGTAACGCGGTCGGTTTTGGTTTTTTGAAATTGCACCCTCAATATGTAATCCTACGTCAGAAGTGATTATCTGTCCTGAGGAACAAAATGTTGTTTCAAACTTTGACCCGAATTCCAAATTGTTTATTCTAATGTGATGATTGCGTTTAGCGCTAATTTACAGGATACCCTTTTAAGGGCTTGTTTCCATTTGAATTTAAAAATTTGATAACCTACCTACTTGAGCACAGAAACCTACCTAACTACTTGAACTAGGTTGCCAAATCACAAATAATCTGGTGGTTTGATCGCAGACAGGCGACTCTGTACCTTTCCAGCGTGGACGTTTTGCGCTCATCGAGTGTTTGAAGACCGGTGGTGAATCTCAGAATTTCGAGTTCGCGGTGGACTGTTAAGGATACTTCTGAGGATCTTGTTTTGGATCCTCTGAAGCTTTAGGTGGTGGCACTTAGCACAACTCTCCCAGATTGGCATACCATACTCAATAGCCGGTAGAATGATCTGCTTGTGGACAGCAACATTTTTTTTTCTAGGGACAGGGTGGACTTCCTGTTTATCAGAGGGTAGAGCGACCTGATGAAGATGTTACACTTGGTGGATGTCTTGTCCACATGGGATCGGAATAGCAATTTGCTATCGATGGTGAAACCAAAGTAGACTACTTCACTCGACCATCCAATGGGAGTGCTATCAAGATGAACCTTGACGTTAGCAGGTGGAACAAGCCAAGGTGAACTCGAGTGTGGAAACTGAATGGTTTGTGTTTAGCTGCATTGATACAAATCTTCCAGCTCTTGAAATAGTCGGACAGAACAGTAAGCAGGCTACCCATTTGAAAACACCAGCAGACGGCTGAGTATCAACTTTTCGAATAGCTTCGAGATGGAGGACAAGAGGCTGATGGGGCGATAGCTGATAGGCACTGATAGGATCTTTGCCAGGCTTGCGTATTGCAATAACTTTGGCAAACTTCCAGCATGCAGGGAAGTAGCCAAGCTCCAAACATTTGTTGAAGATAAAGGTAAGATGGTTGAAGAAGTCAATACTCAAGTTTTTCAACTCAAAGTTGACTACACCATCCATACCCGCAGCCTTCATGTTTTTAGTGCTTCTAATAGCGCTATCACCTCATGAGCTGATATTCTACTAACATCATGCACCACTACATTGCCTCTAGTACGGCAGGCTCATGGGGGCTCACCATGGTTTGGCCAAGATTATGTGAAATCACAAAATTTTGGCCAAGAGCATTGGCCTTTTCAACTGGAGTTATGAGTAGGGATGGGTCCAAGTTCTGGTCAACAGAGGAAAGCGGAGGGATCGGTCTCGACTTATTTTTCAAAATTTTGGTCATCTTCCAAAATGGTTTTGCACAATCTGGGAGAGAGCAAATGTTGACAAAATGGTTATTTCTAAGTTCCACCATCCTGGCCTGCATAATTTTGGTTAGCTTATTGACATTGGTCTTCAAGTGGGGCAGCCCAGAACGCTGGAAATGCCTACGAATGGTGTTACGGAGCCTGATAAGATCTTTGGTTGGGCTGTCAAGGTTCAGAGTATGACACACCTGTCTGGATGCTGGTACGTGTTGCTCCCTGGCACGGGATATCGCCTCTTCGATGGTTTGCAGACATTGATCGACTTCTTCAAACGATTCCGGTAGGACGTCGTAATCGATTTCTGTGTTCACACAGCGCTGATACTGCTGCCAGTTGACACGATGGTAATTTCACCGAAACTTGAAACCTATTGGCCAAGGAACTTACTTGGACCACCACCGGATAGTGGTCCGAGTTCAGTTCCTGATAGACGATAGGTTGAGAGATGTCATCGCCAATGTTGCTGATGAAGATGTCGATGGTGGCATGAGCTCCGGATCGACTCAGCCGGATGGGAGTGTCCGGACACCGGATGTTTGTAGTGGGCTTCCTGCAGATCGTTGTACAAGATTGTGCCGTTCTGGTTTCGCCGACTATTGCCCCAGGCTTGATGCTTGGTGTTCAGGTCGCCAGTGATGATGACATTTTGCCGCCGTCGTGTTAGCTTGATGATGTCTCTTCGGAGATCTGCGGCCGAGCCGTCCCTTGTTGGTTGTTGGTTTACTTGGACAGTAGACCGCGATGTGCTCACCTCAACTCCGATGGCTTCGATAGTTTTCAGCCGGAAGCTTGGCTGTAGCCGGCAGCTGATGTTCCGTCTCGCAGCGATGGCCACTCCCCCTCCGCCGGAGCTGGTGCGGTCAAGCCTTACGAGCCGAAAGTCGGGAAGGAAGACGTTCAACTCGGGCTTCAAGTGAGTCTCGGTGATGACAGCTATGTCGATGTGCCGTTCGTTGAGAAGTCAACAAACTCGATGTTTTTGCTCTTCAAGGACCAAACACTCCAATTTACGATCTTGATGGCTTCACGGTCCATACTTAGTGACAAGGGACAGGGCAGCATGTAGCTGTTCATATCAAGCCTTGCAGGTGCGCATGATGATGATGACCCCGGCCACGAGCGTCACAAATTCCTCCGAGGTGAACGGAGAATCGTCGACAGGCTCACCTGAGACAGCACCAGCGTATGATAAACCAGGGGCTAGGTTCGTAACATGTCGACGGGACTGGAGAGCTGGGTACTGGACTACCGCGCTACTGTCAAACTCTGTGATGGTAAAATCAACCAACAACTTCCCTTACTTGTCACCAATCTCGATCATTATTAGCAGGTAACTAAATATTCATTTTAATCAATTAGTATATTATATTGTCATCACTGTTTATACTATCATTGTCACTAATTCATTTAGGCATATTCAGTTGACCTGCATTGAGTTATTATTTTGCATGCAATGATATGGGAAAGGGGAGGACTCACGATTCAGCATGGAGATTATATGGGAGCCGTTCTAGGAGTTGTGTGGGGCATGTGGTTCATTTTAGACATTATAGTTTGACGTGATCACCATGATCCACTCACGTTGTAGAATGTGGCCTTGAGACTTGAGATTTGGTCTTCAAGACCCCCTTCTGTCTCGCAAAATCAAAATCAAAATGTGCAGTATTCATCAGTATCATTCCTACCCCCTTATTGTAGAAACTGAAGCATAGTTTTCCGGGATATATTGCAGTTTGTTTATCACATTCCCGACACACTGGTGGTGTTGCCATTTATGTCAAAGAATCAATTCAATTCGACCTTCGTATCAACGAAGTTATCGATGGTAACTGGTTACTGGGCATTACAGTTGTGATGATGGGTAATTATGGTGTTTTGTATCATTTTCCCAGTTCTAGTGACCAGCCTTTTGCTGAAGTTTTAGAGAACTGGCTCGAGACATTCCTTGATTCTAGTAAATTCAATATATAAGCTGGTGATTTTCATTGACGTGACAACTATAATTTAAATTATTTGAAGCGTTTAGCTGATTTTTCCAGATGAATATACGCGTATGCCCAGGCACAGTAAAACTTTAATTGACACGTTTATTCCAATTTTGTTTCTTTTTGTTCAGTTACGGATACTGATTTGAAAATAATCGGTCATGAGACCTTAATGATTAATGTATTAGATAAAATCAATAATAACGGTGATTTAGTAAAATTAAAGTGCTGGAGGAAACAGACTGTTTCGAATCTTGTTGAGAAAATCGTGGATGTTCCATTCGCCGCCGGTAATTTAGATTAATCTACAGCTGTACTAACTAACACTTTGAAAACATGTACCAATCAAGTAGTTGAGCAAAAAACTCGAACAACTGGTACAATTTGGATCAATTGCGTCTTAAACGTAAGAGGGACAAATGGTACAAACAATTTTGTAGATCAAATAGTGATAATCATTGGAATAGACACACGTAATAAATATTCACAATCGATAAAAAATAACTCGTTGTGAAAATGTCCAGAGGAAGATTGATCAGCATCAAAATAACAATAAAGAGTTATGAAAAATTTGGAAATCTTTATTAAAGGTTAGTAATTGCAAACCGCGGTCAATAACTTTTAATGGCACATTTGAACAGTCAGAACAAGTAATTTCATCTAAATTTAATGATTATTTTGTCGACAGTGTTTCATTGATTAATCAATCCATTGAATTATTCGATGAACCTGATGAAATAAAGCAGCCAGTTAATAGTAGTTGTAAACTGGTAAGTTTTCACCCAATTAGATGAACTTTGAGTTATTTGCTTTTCGTTAGGAATCTCGGCTGGAGTAGATAATGTTACTGCTAGAGTTATTCAAGATTGCTTTCATGCCATTGGTCACAACTTGCTGGAACTTATTAATGAATTATTGCAGACTGCACATGTGCCACACATTTTTTCGAATAAACTTTACAGAGCCAAGTTATCATTTTCTTTATACATTATAAATGTCTTAAATCTAAAATTAGAGGATTTGACAGATTACTCGCGGTCTTCTCGAGGTTAGTGGATGACAAATGTTTGGATCGGGAGAGGGAAAAGGAGATTTGGAATATGATTTATGATTCAAAAATTTCACTATTTCTAAAATGTGTACTTAATCCTATAGACGTTATATCAACTCTGTAATTATACAATTATTACAGAAACAAATTTACAAAAAAAAACATTCACACAAAATACAAACTAAACACATGTTCCACACATTTGCAATGAATCTTTAAAGGTTCATATTCAAGAAGTTGCTGGAAAGATTAAAGCCGAACATTAGAAGAAAAAATAGAACTTGTTGTGAATGGCCAGCTGCTGGAGTATTTAAATGGTAATAGTTTGTTGATACCAGAAAAATCGGGATATCGGGTAGGTCAATCTTCTGAAACCGCGTTGAATTTGGTATTAGCGAAGTAGAACGATAACTTGGGGCATAAAGATACGACTGTTGCTGTTTATTTGGATCTGAAACGCACTTTTGTAACAATTGTTAGGCCTTTTTTCTACGATCAATCAACCGATCATTCCACGAGTACTGCATATAAATGGTTTGAAAGCTATTTATCTGACAGAACTCAACGAACTGTTTTTAATTATTCTATTTCCTGTCCCGCGGGGAATAAGCTTGGAGTGCCCGAGGGAAGTGTATTAAGGCCCCTTTTATTTACTATGTATATTAACGACATTAATCTATTTACAGATGATACTGTATTATTAATTACAGCTCACATTTGAATAAAGATTTACGAGCTCTAGGTAGATGATTGTAGTGTAAGCAGTTGAAATTTAGTACAAGTAAAACTAAATTCATGGTAATTTCGCGGAATCAAGTAAATCATAACGTCTCTGTTTTAATGGATGATGCAACTGTTGATCGCGATCTGGAGATTAAATATCTTGGCGTGATTATTGATGACAAGTTCAACTCTCACATTGACAATGTTATCAAAGAAAATTTATTGCATTCTTTCCTCATCTAAACTTTTGCCCTTCCATTTTATTTCTCACCAATGAAACACAAATATCGACATTACAGCACATGTAGAATAAAATAATGAGTTTGATTTTGCAATGCAATATATTCACTTCCTCAACTTTGATGCTGGACGCCTTACAATGGTTGTCGGTGAAGCAAAGAATTGTATATTTGACTATGGTGTATATTTTTAAGGTATTCAACGGTTTGCTGCCTTGATATTTGTGTGATCGAATTAAAAGAGGAAGTGATGTTCATAGATATAATACTAGAAACGCGGATGAAATATGAACACCACATTTCTTGACGTGTACTTCATGGATTTCATTATATGTTATAGGAAAAAATGTTTTCAATTCGATGCCTAGACTTATTAAATGTGCAACAACAGAATTTAAGAGACATTGCAGAATTTAAGAGACATTGCATTTCACACATTAAAACTGTGTTTTGAAAAGTTATCCAGTGATTATTTCCATGAATTGACAAATTATGTATCTTGACGAAGTTATCTCCAACGGATTATTTTGTATGGATAGCTGTCATAACGACTTTTCAATAATTATTGTGGCACTGCAAAAACTATTTTGTTTGCCATGATGGTGATGAAGGATTTTTGATATTTTATTTAATAGTAGTAGTTAAAACAAAAAGTCAGTCCTTTGGAGTACACAGAAATCGTCTCCCTAATTTTCGGATATGATTTTAATTTCATTGGTTTGTCGATATCTTCTTTTGTGAAAATTGAACGTTTCGGTACTTTTGATGAAAAGTGATCGATTTTCACCCTACCTACGTGCCAAGTGATAAGTATAGCGAACACCTTTTAATTAATTCAACGAATTGATCACCCATAAACGAACGCGGAAAATATACAAACATAAAAAAAATCACACTCTTCGCTGTTAATTATTAATTTCCTTTTCGTCCTTCCGAAACAGGATTCTGGTTTGTACACTGTCATTTTGAATGGCACCTCGGTACCGGCATGGGACTGGTCCTGCAGGTAGGTGAGATGGACCAAATGTTGAAAGCACCATCGGATTTCCCGCGATGCGGTGATTACACAACGAAAATACGGGGGTTGAACTGACAACTGACCCATGCACGCACGTAGGACGACGAAAATGTTTCGAGTGAGTGGATTTCGTTTGCAGCTACCATTATAATAAGAATTACGTACCCATATGGTCGTTCGCCGGAAAGGGATCCGTAATTAGTAATAAAAGCTGGTTTTTGGGCAATTGAATGATTGGTATTTAATTCCACTGTTGATGACGACAAAGTACCATCTATTTAGGGTAAACGCTCCTATAGTTGTGGTACGTTAGGTTCCTATAGTTGTGTATTGAGTCTTCATGCTATAGAAAAATAACGATTCTAACGTACCACAACTAGAGGAGCGTTTCCCCTATATGCTATCCAATGTGAACTCAAACGCAGTAAAACATCAATTTTAAAGACTACTTGCAAAGTTTACCGATGTATTTTTTCATGTATGAGTGTTAAAATGGTGAAGCATGACGTTGAACTTCTTTAAGATGACAACAAAAGCGAACAATAATACATTGATTACAAATCAAGCACCATTTCAGATGTGCTTCATCGCACATAAAATTACACACCAACCAAATTACAGAGAGCTCATAGTAAAACCACCATAACAAAACTCATTGCTCCCTAGAGAGGAGCTTGTTTTGAATTTTAACTTCCTTTCCACCGCAAGCAAATTAAACCCTCAGCCATTAAATCTAGGGCGTTGTAAAATTTCCCCCTCCCATGGCATCTGCACCCTTAATTGACAAGCCGAGTCTAATTTGCTCAATCTAATTCCCCTTTTATTGTGACTGCCTACCAAGCGCGTACAAGCACCCTGTCCTGGCCGAAATCCTACAATGCGGGAAAATTTAACCGACATATCTAATCTCCAGCGGATCCTTGCACTGTAAGACCGGGGCTCCAGAGTGTTCAGTGTGGATATCTCTCGGGGGTAATCAAATATGTAATAAGACGCTCTGCTTTCAAAACATCATCATCGTCATCATCGCCCATCGGCGACAAGCTTGCTGCCGTTGTTCCTTCTTCAGGTCGTTGCGTTCAACGAGAAAGTAGCTAGCAGGAAAACAACAGCACATGTGTTAATTGCGGTTTCATAACTACCCAACCGGAGTCAACCCCCACACCCAACACCACCCTCAGAGGCAACGCGGAACGACATATGACTTTCGGCTCTTTACAGGAATTTGCCAACAGTCCTTCGCTCTGCCTTTCTGAGGGCTGGCTGACGTCTGCGTAGGTAATTGTTGATTTTGCTTGTTACGGTCTGAAGATTTTGTATTTCGCCCTAGGCGAGGTACCTTTTTCCTGTCGGTATAAGTTATATTGCATAACTAAATTTTTGGGTTAGAAATATTCTCAACTTTCCTTGTCACACAGCACAGCATGCCACACAATATAGGAATGCAAAAAGTTACAGACTTAGAAAGTTCGCTTTCTTCAACTGTGAAAGTTTTCAAGGAACACCATATTGAGTTCCAGACTGGGATCGAGACAGTTGGGATCTAGCAGTAAAGATGAATACTGCTTAGTCCGTTGAAGTTACGAAGTGAAATCCCCATGTAAATATTTGAAAAGTCATAGTAAATTAATTGATATTATTTTCAAGTTGAAACCAACAATCCAATTGTAGGATGGAACTGATATACGATTACGTTGCTTAAGGGGGGAAATACAAGTAACACGTCAAAAACTCGACGATTTTCGGAATTGTTTTGTGAGCAAAAGAAACAACGCAAACGTTTGGGGTTTTTGCATTAAATTGCTTAAATCTTCCTCTACATTTGAGATTTTTTTCATTGGTGTGTGATCTCTGTGGCTCCTTGGGGTCACATCGGAAGGAGGTCGCCTCCGGTGGGGATTGGTAATTGGCGGGCGTTCTAGAGACCTGAAAATGGACAAAACTTACTTTTATCAATTGGACCTTATTCAGAAAAGATTTTTGTTCTATGTAAACCTCTGAAACCAAAAAAAAAAGATTTAAAAATTTAGAAAAAAATATCTGAAAAAAAAGTTGATTTTTCACTGTTTTTTTCCACTTTAGGCGGATGTGAAAATTATGTATTGATATCAGTGGTTCACATAGAATAAAAATCTATTTTCTTTAAGATGCGCCAGGTTTCAAGTCATTTGGATGAGAACTTTTTGAGTTATCTTTCCCGTCAGTTTGGAAAACACCGTTTCGAGAAACACGCGTTTAAAGTTTTGGGTTGTGTAAGAACATGATTTCTGGAACTTACGGTTAATCGGTGATACCGGGGCCATAGATCACTCCTTTTTCGTGCTCGTAGTATTTAAAAAAAAATTAAAGTAAAATATAAAAAATCGATAAAAACAAAATTTTTACTTGTATTTCCACCCTTAATGGGACAAACTGACTTGATGTTGATTTCACATTTTCAATTATCAAAGTCAGTAGTTTTAACTAGAGATGCATTGAGCTGCTCTGAATTTTCCATTAAACTGAACTAGTTTTCCTGAACCGCTCATTCACTCACTTTGTAGCACTTGACGAATATGGATCAGAATCGTAAAGTCAGTAAAACTATTGCGTAATTTTTTATTCAAATATGAGATCTATTCAGAAAAGAAAACATCGACAAGTAATACTGTATTGCACTTAATGAACATGTAACGAAATTACGAAAGATTTTGAACGTTAATAACTCAGCTGCCCCTGGACCAATTTCAATAAATTTAATCACCAATCGATCATAAATATTTCTACGCATCGGTAGCAATGCTTCCGACTGTTGATTTTAACTAACAAATTGATTTTGTTGATAACTAACAAATCCACCAATTACGTACATGCATATGCTGCTTTCTCAACACAGTCATCAGAGAATCGTTTGTAGACGAAACATGTCGATTTGCATTGCTGCTTTCCCAACACTGTCATTAGAGAGCCGTTAGTAGACGAAACAAGTCGAAGTGGCATTCGCCTCCGATCTTCGGGCGTGTGCGAGTAGGGAGGATTCATTTGTGTAACATTTTGCACACTCAATACCATATTCAGAACCACACGCCCCCAACGACCCCACGAAATGCTCTCCAGAGTTGTAATCTTGTAACCAAACCTGCTTCCAGGGGTGCTAGTGATTTTGATCGATTCTCTTCATCGACTTTCTGTTTCGTTAATAACTCGACGGCAAACACATTCATTGATACGTTTGTTGTTCTGGATGATAAAAGAGCATATGCAGAAATAGTTCGAAATAGGTTAGTGAAGCCATGGTCATCAAAAGAGGAAATCGATGAAGAGAATTGACTTTCACTCCTCTGCTTTTAAGCCGCTTAAGGTTCTACAAAGGGTGAGTAATTTTGTGTTCTTCTTATTATTATTTTTTTAATGTCATGCAATCATCAAAAAAAACATAATCACTGTATTTACTTACTTGTGTTCTTCGAAGTATAGCACAATTACACGCAATCGAATACACGAAACGCAAAACGACTGCATCACAAAACTCTTGGTGAACAAAATTTAACACAAAGAAAACCACTTAAACTTTACTGCTTTGCTAGCAATCGTGAGAATATCATCGAAACAGCGGTGCCAGATGTATTGCCTCTAGCAATGAACTTAAATTTATTAAAACAAGTAATGGCAAAGTTTGACTCATTAACATTGATGAGCGGATATATTTAATGGTGAATAAATATCAAAAATTGAATAAATAAAACAAAAACGACCATTTTAGACATTTTACCGGTCCAATTAAAAAGTAACAGAAGATTTAATTTAAACACTAACATGAAAGATGGCAGCAGTGCACGTAACCTGTGATTCGCTTTCACTCTCATGGCGGTAAGCTCCTACTCGGATCAACATTTCAAGAGCAAATTTTCATTACGTCGAATGTAACTAAGGTAAACAAAGTCGAGCTATCAGTATCAATCGATGCTCCTGCTATTACCACTGGCGTGCACAGGGTGGGGCAAGGTGGGGCAATTGCCCCACCTTTTATAAATAAGATTTTTATTTCCACATTTACTAAATTATGATATAAAATAACATGATTTCTTGATAACTTGATTTGAAGGTAAAATAACTTCATTTCATAATATAAGAGCACTGAAAACCTTTGAGATTATGCCTGAAAATAGCACCACAAAGGTGCATGAAGGGACAAACTTCAATGAAATTTTTTGGTCAAAAAATTGCACCACAGTGGAGTGGTGCATTCAAAAAAAATTCTGGTGTAATTTTTGTTTTTCAAGATAGTTCATGGAGGGTTAAAAGAAGAGGGTAAATTTAAGGTTGAAAAAATTCGGCTTCGTGATGGTAAATCAAAGAAATAGCTTTTTATTGAATATTTCTTGTGTTAAAATATCATCAAGTTGGTACATGAAGGAACTAATCAAAATGAATAAAAATAGTGGAAAAATTGAATCACGCCAAAAATTTAGAGGTGCACATTTAACTGAAAATTTTTGGTGAAAAGTTCGCATAACTGTAGTGAATGTAAAATCAAGGTTAATTCATTTTTCTGGTGCATAATTTGCATCGTTCTGATGAATGCAAGCTTCATTGACAATTTATGGTGGAAAATTTGCACCATTCTGGTGCATGAAGAGGCGAAGTCTGAAAATTGCACCACAAAGGTGCATGGTGAAACAAACTTCACTGACAATTTTTGGTGCCTCGTTGTGGTGAATGGAGGAGCATGCTTTAATGAAAATTTATGATGCAAAATTTGAATCGCTCTGATAAATGAAATGAACAGAAAATGTCTGGTGGAAAACTTGCACTGGTCAGGTAAATAAAGGCACAGGCTTTATTTAAAGTTAAGCTATATTGAAAATTTCTGGTGGATAATCTGCACCGTTCTGGTGAACGGATGGGAAAGCTTTTCTGAAAATTTATGGTTTTTAATTTCCATCCTTCTGCTGAATAGAGAAACAAATTTCAAAAATAATTTCTGGTGGAAAATCTGCACCATTTTGATGATTGGAGGGCAGCTGCTTTACTGAAAATTTATGATGAAAAATCTGAAATAGGGGCAATCTTTATTTGGTGGCAAACCTGCAACATTCTGATGATAGGAGAAGCAATCTACCAGGCATGGAAAATGAAAAAAAATGTGCACCA